AGTTGTGCACTCACAGTAAGTTGTACACTCACAGTAAGTTGTACACTCACTCACAGTAAGTTGCAAACTCACAGTAAGTTGTACACTCACTTACAGTAAGTTGTACACTCACAGTAAGTTGTACACTCACTTACAGTAAGTTGTACACTCACAGGAAGTTGTACACTCACTCACAGTAGTTGTACACTCACTCAGTAAGTTGTACACCCACTCACAGTAAGTTGTACACTCACAGTAAGTTGTACACTCACTCACAGTAAGTTATACACTCCCTCAGTAAGTTGTACACTCAGTAAGTTGTACACTCACTCACAGTAAGTTGCAAACTCACGGTAAGTTGTACACTCACTCACAGTAAGTTGTACACTCACTCAGTAAGTTGTACACTCACTCAGTAAGTTGTACACTCACTCACAGTAAGTTGTATACTCACAGTAAGTAGTACACTCACTCACAGTAAGTTGTACACTCTCTCACAGTAAGTTGTACACTCACTCAGTAAGTAGTACACTCACTCACAGTAAGTTTTACACTCACTCACAGTAAGTTGTACACTCACTCACAGTAAGTTGTACACTCACTCACAGTAAGTTGTACACTCACATTAAGTAGTACACTCACTGACAGCAAGGACACGTGGAAAATATACTTTACGTATTTTTTCATACGCTATGGAAAAGGGCCGTTTACCAAAAGGTCGCTCATTTCATTTATTTTCTATGAAGGCCACGGTGTTTTCGACGCACGTGGTAAACTAAAATAGTGTGCGTGCACTTCTCCTGTGGCAGCAGCAGCAGCATCAGCAAATGATTCACCTAGCAAGGTGTCTTTCACCGAGCGCCTGAGTCCTTTCTCAAACACGTGGTTCTCCCTTCCATGCACCTCTGCCCCGTGACATGTATTCAACAACGCTGCGTCACATTCTATTCCCAGTTTTGCTTCACATTTTTTTAGTTCAAATTAATTACGAGAACCAGCGCCGGACGAAGCTAGTGAGGGGCCTGTAGAATATGTTGTCATGAAGGGGCCCCTAAATTAAAAAAAACCATGAATATTAAAACACACATGTTTAAAAGTCTTTGGGTTTTTCGGTAAAGCCACGTAGATAGAAAAAAAAAATACTAAAAATATCACGACGTTTACATCGCAACGCAAGCGACCGTCGGGTGAAAATATAGCGAGAGAGCTGCTGAGGCAGGATGTTATTAAGGTTTGAGATGGGTGTAGCCCAAGGGTCATAAGCGAAGTGGGCGGGGCTAGTGATGACATTTAGCATGTCAATGTAAGATCGGAGAGAGCTGGGCAACCTCTACGATGACAAAGCTGTGGAGGTGGCCCTTGTCTTGTGAGAGATTGGCATGTCAATGTAAGATCGTGGAGCCACCACCACATCAAGGAAAACGAGCAACGGTGGCTGTGTTAGTGAGACATTTAACCTGTTAATGTGAAGGCATTTAACCTGTTCATGTAAAACCAGAGAGTCGAAAATAACTACTAAACATCACAGCCAGTTGTGACTTAACCTGGTTAATAACGTCCTTCTAACGATTGATCAGTTTGTACCCATCTTCTCGGTTGAAATTGTGTCCGTGTTCATATATCTGGATGGCTTCATGAACGAATCTTTGGCGATACCCAGTGGGTTTGCAGAGTACCTTCGTCTTGGAAAAATCAATTTCGCGTGTGCCCACAGCGTTAAAACAATGATCAGCCACGGCTGAGGTATTGGTCCTACCGTGTTTCAGATCTGCCTTGTGTTCACGAACACGGTCCGAGACATGTCGCTTAAGTAATTGTATGTTTTCATTCGCTATACAGCCAGATAGTACGACAAATCGCTAACCTTAAACACCCAGTCGTTCATAAAAGTTTAAGGCGGTACAGTACTATAGTAATAGAGCAAGTGCAGAATCACTGAACCGGAATTGATAACTTGAAAGCATTTAGCGCGGGGCCCTTGAAAGTGCGGGGCCCGTAGCTACAACTTGTTTAGCTACTATATATGTAGCTACTACATATTTAGTAGCTACTACATATTTAGTAGCTACTCTTGCTACTGGGATAATCGGGCCATGACGAGAACTTAATTCGCCGTCTTGCAGCACCTCGAATTCCCCCACTCAAAGAGCAACATTCTATAGCCAGTCACGTGTGCTCGCCCACGTGACTGGCTCTCATCTTGACACCTCAACGAGGGCCACGGGAGGTCCCTTTGCTTTGCCGTCTTCACGAAGCCAGCGCGTGTTCACGACCACAGCCACTGGGCCACGTGGGTGATGTTGGTGAGTGATGTTGGTGAGTGAGAGTGGGTGAGTGATGTTGGTGAGTGAGAGTGGGTGAGTGATGTTGGTGAGTGATGTTGGTGAGTGAGTGATGTTGGTGAGTGAGATTGAGTGGGGCGTGGGTCACGGTGAGTGAGTGATGTTGGTGAGTGAGAGTGAGTGCGGCGTGGGTCACGGTGAGTGAGTGATGTTGGTGAGTGAGAGTGAGTGGGGCGTGGGTCACGGTGAGTGAGTGATGTTGGTGAGTGAGAGTGAGTGGGGCGTGGGTCACGGTGAGTGAGTGATGTTGGTGAGTGAGAGTGAGTGGGGCGTGGGTCACGGTGAGTGAGTGATGTTGGTGAGTGAGAGTGAGTGGGGCGTGGGTCACGGTGAGTGAGTGATGTTGGTGAGTGAGAGTGAGTGGGGCGTGGGTCACGGTGAGTGAGTGATGTTGGTGAGTGTGAGTGGGGCGTGGGTCACGGTGAGTGAGTGATGTTGGTGAGTGAGAGTGAGTGGGGCGTGGGTCACGGTGAGTGAGTGATGTTGGTGAGTGAGAGTGAGTGGGGCGTGGGTCACGGTGAGTGAGTGATGTTGGTGAGTGAGCGTGAGTGGGGCGTGGGTCACGGTGAGTGAGTGATGTTGGTGAGTGAGAGTGAGTGGGGCGTGGGTCACGGTGAGTGAGTGATGTTGGTGAGTGAGCGTGAGTGGGGCGTGGGTCACGGTGAGTGAGTGATGTTGGTGAGTGAGGGGGATGAGCTATGGTGAGTGATGTTGGTGAGTGAGGGGGGGGGGTGAGTCATGGTGAGTGAATGATGTTGGTGAGTGAGAGTGAGTGGGGGGTGAGTCATGGTGAGTGAGTGATGTTGGTGAGTGAGGGTGGGTGAGGGGGGTGAGTCATGGTGAGTGAATGATGTTGGTGAGTGAGAGTGGGTGAGGGGGGGTGCGTCATGGTGAGTGAATGATGTTGGTGAGTGAGGGGGATGAGCTATGGTGAGTGAATGATGTTGGTGAGTGAGAGTGGGTGAGGGGGGTGAGTCATGGTGAGTGAATGATGTTGGTGAGTGAGAGTGGGTGAGGGGGGGATGAGTCATGGTGAGTAAATGATGTTGGTGAGTGAGAGTCAGTGAGCGGGGGTGAGTCATGGTGAGTGAATGATGTTGGTGAGTGAGGGGGATGAGCTATGGTGAGTGAATGATGTTGGTGAGTGAGAGTGGGTGAGGGGGGTGAGTCATGGTGAGTGAATGATGTTGGTGAGTGTGGGTGAGTGAGGGTGAGTGTGTGTGAGTGTGTGTGAGTGTTGGTGAGTGAGGGTGAGTGAGGGTGAGTGTGTGAGTGTTATGAGTGCGGGTCAGTGTGTGTGAGTGAACGTGTGTGTGTGAGTGTTGGTGAGTGAGGGTGAGTGTGTGTGAGTGTGTGTGAGAGTTAGTGAGTGTGGGTGAGTGTGTGAGTCTGGGTGAGTGAGGGTGAGTGTGTGTGAGTGTGGGTGAGTGTGTGTGAGTGTGGGTGAGTGTGAGTGAGTGTGGGTGAGTGTGTGTGTGGGTGAGTGAGGGTGGGTGTGGGGGAGTGTAGGTGAGTGTGGGTGAGTGTGGGTGAGTGAGTGTGAGTGTAGGTGAGTGAGGGTGAGTGAGGGTGAGTGTGGGTGAGTGTGTGTGAGTGTGGGTGAGTGTGAGTGAGTGTGGGTGAGTGTGTGTGTGGGTGAGTGTGTGTGTGGGTTGTGGGAAGCGATAGTGTATTTTTATTTTTAAATTATATCTTAAAGCTATTTAATATTCGATATTTATTTAATTTTATATACTTCAGCCCCTTGGTGTTAGACTTTTAACCCTTATTATAGTAAGACTTGTTTAAAACTTATTTAAGATTTTAGATTCCTATATGTTGAATGTATGCACCATCCTGCCAAAGTAAATTCCGTGTCGGTGTGAACTTACATGGCGAATAAAACCCTTTCTGATTCTGATTCTGGTTAGCGCTACACTGCGCTATGAATCTGGCGACCCGGGTTCGATTCCCGCTCACGGCCAACACCAGTGACGATTATCTGAACCGGTCCCGGGCCTCCCCTAGGTCGACTCAGCCTCAAATGAGTACCTGGTGCGGTGTGTAAACATTGCTACTAGAGAGACAAAGGCGGTCGGGCGTGGTGCTGGCCACCCACCCCCTCGTGTACCGTTCCGGCCTTCATAGGTGCTCGCTAACAGCACTTGCCCCTACAGTCTGTTAAGGCTATATGGGGGATCTTTGTCTTTGTGAGTGAGTGTGTGTGAGTGAGTGTGGGTGAGTGGGTGAGTGCGTGAGTGAGTGTGGGTGAGTGCGTGAGTGAGTGTGGGTGAGTGAGTGAGTGTGGGTGAGTGTGAGTGAGGGTGAGTGTGTGTGGGTGAGTGTGGGTGAGTGTGAGTGAGGGTGAGTGTGTGTGGGTGAGTGTGGGTGAGTGTGTGTGGGTGAGTGTGGGTGAGTGTGTGTGGGTGAGTGTGGGTGAGTGTGTGTGGGTGAGTGTGTGTGGGTGAGTGTGTGTGGGTGAGTGTGTGTGGGTGAGTGTGTGTGAGTGTGTGTGAGTGTGTGTGGGTGAGTGTGTGAGGGCGAGTGAGGGTGAGTGTGGGTGAGTGAGGGTGAGTGTGGGTGAATGTGTGTGTGAGGGTGAGTGTGGGTGAGTGTGTGTGGGTGAGTGTGGGTGAATGTGTGTGTGAGGGTGAGTGTGGGTGAGTGTGTGTGGGTGAGTGAGGGTGAGTGGTTTGTTACCTGGCAGGCTCGAGAGGAGGGCAGGCTGGTGGCCATTCTTCAGCCGCGTGTCTCAGCAGGTGAGAGATGACCCAGCGCCTCAGGGCCTGCGTCGTGCCCTCCAACTCTACTCAAGCAGCAGCAACAGCAGCAGCATCCGCAGCAGTACCATCAGCAGCAGCATCAGCAGTAACGCGAGCATCGTCATTTACATCAACGTCATCGTTATTGTCATCGTCATCACGTCATCGTTATTGTCATCATCATCACATCACGTCATCATTATTGTCATCGTCATCACATCACGTCATCATTATTGTCATCGTCATCACATTACGTCATCATTATTGTCATCATCACATCACGTCATCATTATTGTCATCATCATCATCACATCACTTCATCATTATTGTCGTCATCACATCACGTCATCATGATTGTCATCGTCATCACATCACGTCATCATTATTGCATCGTCATCACATTACGTCATTATTATTGTCATCGTCATCACATTACGTCATCATTATTGTCATCGTCATCACATCGCGTCATCATTATTGCCATCGTCATCACGTCATCATTATTGTCATCGTCATCACGTCATCGTTATTGTCATCGTCATCACGTCATCGTTATTGTCATCGTCATCACATCACGTCATCATTGCCTTCGTCATCACATCACGTCATCATTATTGTCATCGTCATCACATTACGTCATCATTATTGTCATCGTCATCACATTACGTCATCATTATTGTTGTCATCACATCACGTCATCATTGTCATCGTCATCACATCACGTCATCATTATTGTCATCATCACATCACGTCATCATTACTGTCATCATCACATCACTTCATCATTATTGTCGTCATCACATCACGTCATCATGATTGTCATCGTCATCACATCACGTCATCATTATTGTCATCGTCATCACATAACGTCATCATTATTGTCATCGTCATGAATCATAACTGTCATCAGTGTCATCATCGTCATCGCAAACATCGTCATCATCATCAACACAAGCATCATCACATGCAACATTATTGTTGTCGATGGGTGAGTAGTGTCGGGTGAGTGGTGAGTAGTATCAGGTGAGTGGTGAGCAGTGTAAGGTGAGTGGTGAGTAGTGTCAGGTGAGTGGTGAGTAGTGTCAGGTGAGTGGTGAGTAGTGTCAGGTGAGTGGTGAGTAGTGTCAGGTGAGTGGTGAGTAGTGTCAGGTGAGTAGTGTCAGGTGAGTGGTGAGCAGTGTCAGGTGAGTGGTGAGCAGTGTCAGGTGAGTGGTGAGTAGTGTCAGGTGAGTGGTGAGTAGTGTCAGGTGAGTAGTGTCAGGTGAGTGGTGAGCAGTGTCAGGTGAGTGGTGAGCAGTGTCAGGTGAGTGGTGAGTAGTATCAGGTGAGTGGTGAGTAGTGTCAGGTGAGTGGTGAGCAGTGTCAGGTGAGTAGTGTCAGGTGAGTAGTGTCAGGTGAGTGGTGAGCAGTGTCAGGTGAGTGGTGAGCAGTGTCAGGTGAGTGGTGAGTAGTGTCAGGTGAGTGGTGAGTAGTGTCAGGTGAGTGGTGAGTAGTGTCAGGTGAGTAGTGTCAGGTGAGTGGTGAGCAGTGTCAGGTGAGTGGTGAGTAGTGTCAGGTGAGTGGTGAGTAGTGTCAGGTGAGTGGTGAGTAGTGTCAGGTGAGTGGTGAGTAGTGTCAGGTGAGTGGTGAGTAGTGTCAGGTGAGTAGTGGCAGGTGAGTGGTGAGCAGTGTCAGGTGAGTGGTGAGCAGTGTCAGGTGAGTGGTGATTAGTATCAGGTGAGTGGTGAGTAGTGTCAGGTGAGTGGTGAGTAGTGTCAGGTGAGTAGTGGCAGGTGAGTGGTGAGTAGTGTCAGGTGAGTGGTGAGCAGTGTCAGGTGAGTGGTGAGTAGTGTCAGGTGAGTGGTGAGTAGTGTCAGGTGAGTAGTGTCAGGTGAGCGGTGTTCACGTGAATGCGGTGGTGCTGGTGTGGTGAGCGGCGTTCTCTCACCAGGGTAGGAGTCCCCGTGCAGGGATGAGTTGCTGAACGCTTTGTAGAACTGTTAGTGAGAGACGCGAGGCGACAGGTGACTCGGTGGAGGCTGAACCACATCAACCCAGCCTCTTGCTTAGTTTCAAGTTGATTTTGATGAACCAGATGAGACCTCAGGAGGTGAGGATAGAGTCTTAGTGAATGAATGAATGGATGAATAAGTAAATTAATAAGTGGTTAAATGAGTGAGTGGTTGGATGATTCGTTGACCGAGTGAGCTCTAGTTTGAAGTTTAATTTGTTTAACCAGGTGAGACCTCGGGATACAAGGCTAGAGTCTCATTTGCCAGAGTGAGTGATTACGTCAGGGTGTGGTTTCGCGAGTGGTTGGATGGATTGGGCGATGGAGTGAGCTCTCGTCTCAAGCACAGTCTGAGGAGTCGAATGAGAACTCAAGAGACCAGGAGAGAAGGGCTTTTGCAAGAGTGACCTCGGTCACCATTGTGACAAAAGCAATAGCATACAGCGATGTCGCAAATAGACTTCTGAGTGGTGAGGTTCAGGTACGCTGATGACTCGTGATGCCTTCATAACAAAATATATGGAAACTAGGTGGCCTGTGGTCACATCTACGGCATAAAAATGTTTCTGCCTGGTGCACTTATTTGATGCCCTGCTTTCAATTATTTAACCAAACCACATGAAAGTTCACAGTTGAACCCCTCTCTGTGAAGAATTGGATTTTGTTAAAATGGCTCTCATTGAGCTTCATCCACTCTTATTTGTTTGGGGTTTCCTCTTTAGGCCCCACTCATTCCTATTTAGGCCACACCCCTTCTTGTTGTAAGCCCCACCCCTTCCTGCTTAGGCCCCGCCCATGTCTGTTTTGGTCCCGCCCCCTCTCTTTTGAGGAACCGTCCACTTTATCTGATGGGACACACAATAGTTGAGTTTGTGTGGGAAATGATGGGGGTTGTGGAAGGGGAGGGGGGTTTCGTCAGTAGGAGGAGGGGAGGGCGGAGGACACGTCACCACGTGTCTCAGGACACGTCATCACGTGTCTCTGGACATGTCCCAACGTGTTTTAGGACGCGTCACCACGTGTCTCAGTACACGTCACCACGTGTCTCAGGACGCGTCACTACGTGTCTCAGTACACGTCACCACGTGTCTCTGGACATGTCCCAACGTGTCTCAGGACGCGTCACCACGTGTCTCAGGACACGTCACCACGTGTCTCAGGACGCGTCCCAACGTGTCTCAGGACGCGTCACCACGTGTCTCAGGATACGTCACCACGTGTCTCAGGACACGTCACTACATGTCTCAGTACACGTCACCACGTGTCTCAGTACACGTCATCACGTGTCTCAGGATGCGTCCCCACGTGTCTCAGTACACGTCACCACGTGTCTCAGTACACGTCACCACGTGTCTCAGTACACGTCACCACGTGTCTCAGTACACGTCATCACGTGTCTCAGGACGCGTCCCCACGTGTCTCAGGATGCGTCACCACGTGTGTCAGTACACGTCACCACGTGTCTCAGGACACGTCACCACGTGTCTCAGGACGCGTCACCACGTGTCTCAGGATACGTCACCACGTGTCTCAGGACACGTCACCACGTGTCTCAGGACGCGTCACTACGTGTCTCAGTACACGTCACCACGTGTCTCAGGGCTCGTCACCACGTGTCTCATTACACGTCACCACGTGTCTCTGGACGTGTCCCCACGTGACCCCTCACCGTGTACTGTGGCCATGACCTGACCCCGAGGTCGCGACACGTTCTGTAGGCGCGACCCCGGGTCCCTGCGCAGTCGAACGCGGCGATCCGCACAGCGGCCCCCCAATCTGCGAGGTGTAGAGGGGGACATGGTGGGGGGGGGGGGCGTGGTGGGGAGGGGGGCTAATTAATGAATACCTTATCACCCTCCTTCCCTCCTTACCTCCCTCATCCCTTCCTCCTTACATCATTCACTTCCTTCCTCCATCCCTCCCTTGAAAACCCCCCACTCCCTAACTCCCTTGAGTCCAGTCACCCATCCATCACTCACTCCCTGCCTCCCACCCACCCTCCCTCCTCGCTTATTTCCAACACTGCCTCCGTCCCGTGAGGCCGTTCATTCATTTCCCTCCCTCCCCCACCCGCCATCCTTACATCCATCACTCCCTCTCGTCCTTAATTCAATCCCGAGTCAATTCAGTCAATCGTTCAACTCTCTCTCACTCCCCGTCTCCCTCCTTATCTACAATCACGCCATCCTTACACACATCACTCCCTCCATGCCGCTCTCCCTCCCTCGCATCCTTGTCTCCCTTCCTCCATCCTGCTCGCATCTCTATTCATCCGGCGAGTCAATTGATTCATCCCCCCTCCCGCCCCCTCCCTCCACTCCGCTCTCCCCCTGCCCCTCGTCTGTATCCACAGCTGCCAAAACAACTGCAGTCGCTACTCCTGCAGGAATGCGTGCTCGCGCTTTTGAGTCTCCACTCCATCGAGCCACCAGAGAGACAGAGAGAGAGAGCGAGGCAGCTAGAGCCCTAGGAGTCTACAACAGCAGCATGCTCTACCCACTGCTGGATGAAGGCCCTTGCCCACGACGCCTCTGTCCCACAAAGTTCCTGCGACGAGACCGCAGTGCACCAGCTGCTCACACCTCACACATCCTGAATCATCATCATCAGCAGCAGCAGACAAACTCAACTAAACAATTTTTATTTTATTTTACCAGGTAAGGCCCAACTGAGGTTTATATCTCTTTGCCACAAGCGATCTGGCCACGTATGATAGCTCACGCAAGTGGCTTATCATGTGGCAATGTATAGCAGCCAAATACTCTAAACGCGTGGTGTTCATTCTAAATGTGGAGGGGTTTAAAAACCGGAGGACCACGCAGCAAACTTCACGCGACCACAGGGAGAGAGAGACGCGCAAACTCCAAATACACAGCAGCAGCAGGTGCCAGGGTCGGGATCGAACCCACGCCCTCCTGCACACTGGGCGAGGGAGTTAACATCTCACCACGGAGAGAGAGAGACGCGCAAACTCCAAATACACAGCAGCAGCAGGCATCAGGGTCGGGATCGAACCCACGACCTCCTGCACACCGGGCGAGGGAGTTAACATCTCACCACGGAGAGAGAGAGACGCGCAAACTCCAAATACACAGCAGCAGCAGGCGTCAGGGTCGGGATCGAACCCACGACCTCCTGCACACTGGGCGAGGGAGTTAACATCTCACCACGGAGAGAGAGAGAGACGCGCAAACTCCAAATACACAGCAGCAGCAGCAGGCGTCAGGGTCAGGATCGAACCCACGACCTCCTGCACACCGGGCGAGGGAGTTAACATCGCCACCGCGCCCACCATCATCGCGAGGCCTGCTCTATCTGCTGCTGGATGGAGGTCCTTCCCAACGCCCATCACGAGAGTTTCCCGCGACTGCCGCAACTCGCACTTGAACTCATTTCGTCGCTCCGTTTCTCGGTGGAGTTCAGAGTCGCTGGGGGATCGCGTGCCGAGGAGATACAAAGACGCGCCTGTGTGCGCCTGTGTGCGCCTTTGAGTTCATGAATCTCATTGGGCTCTCAGCCAGTGAAATAAACAGAGACGATGTCGCGAAGTCGGCGAGCCAGTGGTCAAAACGGGCGTCGGTGCGGCTCCCCCGTTGCCGGCCCTGAGCCAATCGTTTGACATTCCACATTCCCATGGGCGGGACCAGTCCATCCGGAGGACGAGCACTACCTGTGACAGACTAACAGTGAAAGAAGGGCTTCCCATGTCGTCTCCATAGTGGGTGGTGGGGGGGGTGACTATACTTCACCACGCTATTCCACGCCGGTTCCTGAAGGGGAGCGTGGGGTGGAGGGGGCTGCACAAGTCACGTGTTGTGACTTCACTCTCCAACACACCGCTGTGCTGCACCAGTCACGTGTTGTGACTTCACTCTCCAACACAACACCGGTGTGCTGCACCAGTCACGTGTTGTGACTTTACTCTCCAACACACCGGTGTGCTGCACCAGTCACGTGTTGTGACTTCACTCTCCAACACACCGCTGTGCTGCACCAGTCACGTGTTGTGACTTCACTCTCCAACACAACACCGGTGTGCTGCACCAGTCACGTGTTGTGACTTTACTCTCCAACACACCGGTGTGCTGCACCAGTCACGTGTTGTGACTTCACTCTCCAACACACCGCTGTGCTGCACCAGTCACGTGTTGTGACTTCACTCTCCAACACAACACCGGTGTGCTGCACCAGTCACGTGTTGTGACTTTACTCTCCAACACACCGGTGTGCTGCACCAGTCACGTGTTGTGACTTCACTCTCCAACACACCGGTGTGCTGCACAAGTCACGTGTTGTGACTTCACTCTCCAACACAACACCGGTGTGCTGCACCAGTAAAGAATTGGCGCGTGGTGGCGGGTTTATTGTGATGATGCAGGCTTGTCGAACCCGTGAACTTTAAACAATAAACATTTCCAAATCAATTGACGACGTCCTTCTGAATCAGATGATGAGATGGAGTGGGGGGGGGGGGGGGGTGGAGCGGTGGCGCAGCGGTTAGCGCATTCCGCCGCGCCGTGAATCCTTTCACGACCAGTGCCCGGCCACGGCTAACATCAGTGGCGCGAGCAGCGTGGAGAAGTCTGATCAAGTAACCGTGATGACGCCGCGCTCAACCTCATCAACACTCGCCGAACGTAACCCGAACCGTTAACTCATTCCGGTAACCGGTTGCCAAGTTCCCGTTGGTTGCAGTAATCCGTGACTCGACTACCTCTTGTTTTTCATTCATAAAATGTTAATTCAAGAAGACTCTCCCTCCCTCCCTCTCTCTTCCTGCCCCCTGACCCCGAGCCCACAATCCTCACCACCACCCGCGCTGCAACTGCGGATATGGTTCAGTAGCGATGTGGCGTTCTTGTGTGCCTATATATGTGTGTATGTGTGTGTGAATGTGTGTGTATGTGTGTGTGTATATGTGTGTGTATGTGTGTATGTGTGTGTGTATGTGTGTGTATGTGTGTGTGTGTAGGGAGCGGTGGCGCAGTGGTCAGCGCACTGGGCTACGGACCCAGAGGGCCGAGTTCGATTCCCGCTCACGAGCAAATAACAATGACAGCGAATATTTGAACCGGTCCAGGGCCTACCCACCACTAGGTCGAATCAGCCTTAAATGAGTACTCGGTGTGGGTTTAAACATCAGCACTGTGGAGAGACAAAGGCTGCCGGGCGTTTTTCTGGCCACGTACATTCGTATACACAAAGACAAAGGTCCCCCGTTATAACCTTAACAGACCGTTGGAGTAAGTGCTGTTAGCCAGCACCACGCCCGGCCGCCTTTGTCTCCCCAGTGGCGATGTTTACACACCGCACCAGGTTCTTATTTGAGGCTGACTCGACCGAGGGTAGGCCGAGGAGTGAATCAGATAATCGTCACCGGTGTTTCCGTGAGCGGGAGTTCGTAGTTTCAGTGCGCTAACCGCTACACTACCGCTCCCCACATATATACGTACACAAAGATAACAAAGATCCCCCATATAGCCTTGGGCAAGTGCTGTTAGCGAGCACACACGTACACACACACACAGGTACACACACACATAGGTACACACACACAGGTACACACACACAGGCACACACACACAGGTACACACACACACAGGTACACAAAGATCAAAGATTCCCCCATATAGCCTTAACAGACTGTAGGGGCAAGTGCTGTTAGCGAGCACCTATGAAGGCAATGTTTACAACCGCACCAGGTACTCATTTGAGGCTGAGTCGACCTAGGGGAGGCCCGGGACCGGTTCAGATAATCGTCACTGGTGTTGGCCGTGAGCGGGAATCGAACTCGAGTCGCCAGGTTCATAGCGCGCTAACCGCTACACCACCGCTGCCCACACAGGTACACACACACAGGTACACACACACCCACATAGTTAGATGGTTATCCCTCTAGTGAAGGCCATTCCGCCAGCAGTCGCGTGAGCGAGCAATTTCAGGGCTGCGCCTTTACCTCGTATGGTCTCCGCATCGCGCGGTGCTTTCAGATGCGTCTCTGCGGCCGTCTGGAACGCTCTTCCTTCCGACATTAGGAAGCCACTGGGAGCTGTGGCACTTGTAAATCATCATCATCGAGCTTGACAAACTCATTTCTTTATAACTGCTTGTTAGTGTTTAGTTTGTCGTCATTCCCTCGCACCTCTGATCAGCACGGTTGGCTACATACGGCGCGAGACACCCACCATCGACCACCCCGGCCGCCGCCCGGCACGTCGCGACCTGGGGGCGTCAGTGTGGAATGTGGCGCTGAGCGAGCTCGCGACTGCTCGCAATGAGCGACTCAAGCGCGCGTCTGTCCGAGCCTCCTACTGCAGCCTGGAGCACGCTCTCGATCACTCACTCGATTACACACATCGATTACCCACATCGATCACTCACATCGATTACTCACATCGATCACTCGCCTCGATCACTCCCCTCGATTACACACCTCGATCACTCACATCGATTAATCACATCGATTACTCACATCGATCACTCACCTCGATTACTCACATCGATCACTCATCTCGATTACTCACCTCGATCACTTACATCGATTAATCACATCGATTACTCACATCGATTACTCACATCGATCACCTACATCGATCACTCACATCGATCACTCACATCGATTACACACCTCGATCACTCACATCGATTAATCACATCGATTACTCATCTCGATCACTCACATCGACCACTCATCTCGATCACTCATCTCGATTACTCACCTCGATCACTTACATCGATTAATCACATCGATTAATCACATCGATCACGCACATCGA